TAGTCCCTAACTAATCCTGCCATGTAATCTAACTTACAGAATTTTAGACTGAACTATTTGACAGTTCTCTACGGTTTCTAAATCCACGTTATTCTGAAAAGACTGCAGTTAATCATTTTTGGCAATTCAACACATTTATAAATCTTAAAGAAAAAGTTACCAAAAACTAGGTTTAATTTATGGTCCAAAGAGTATTAATAAATTATACCTACAGGGAACAGTGTTAGGTTTTACTCAACTTTCTAAAACTGAAATTAAAAATCAACAAGGCCCAGCTTCTTGTATAAGCATAAATGAATAAAGGGTCTAGATACTGATCTGTGTACTTTTACAGAATCACATCATGCATATTAATAACAATCATAAGAGCAGTAGTTATTACTGCTGTTAAATGCCTTCCAAAGTGTTCACAACATTTTCCTTAATTATATCACCAGTAAAATTACATCATCTCCAGTTGAATAACCAAACTTTGAAATGATTTTTTGAAATTAGTATCCAAAGACATACCAGAATTCTGATATTATACAGCTAAGAATGGAGTTTAACAGTTGATCTAAGAAAAGTTACATAAAAATAAAATTATTAAGAAGTTGTTATGATTCCTTTCATCTGATCATTATTAAATAGGGATAGAAGTAGTTTAAAATCACGGTGCTATTATGCTACAATGACAAAAAACAGAGTGCACTCTCCAACCGCCCAAACCACTTCCTCCCAACAAGAGGAAAATGAGACCTTTATCATGTTTACCGCTAATGCAAAGCTGCATCTATATGAAATCATAATTAAGATTACTCAATTTCTTAGTTATGACAAAAATGAATCTTTCTTCCAAATCTTTTATTCTTAAAAAATGTAATATAAATTTGAAAAAGCACTTCTTGTCACCGAAGCAAGAATATAGCATTTAGCTATATAATCTACAAAGTTTAAGGGTGCTTAGCTAGTTGCTCAAAATGTTTTCATGCACTCCTCAGATTTACTCTAAAATGAGATGAGAAGGCGAATTTCAGAGGATTTATCACCCATGCCTCTGTGAAAAGAGCTGATGTGCTTTATTTCTTAATGGAGTTTCTTCCCCATTTAAAGTTTTCTATTTTATTCTATAAAATATATATAATCAGAATTATGTAAGCTCCTAAGCTTAAAAATAAAATATTGAAACTTACATGCACTGGTATAGGTCTACATGGACATCAGTTCTGAAGACTTTTTAAAGAATTTATGGAAGAAGTGGCTACTGAGACAACAAAAAGGCCATACTGACTTGCCACTGAGTCACTAGGATACCTGACAAAGAATTATACACTCAGTGTTCAACTTATGGAAAGATATACAAATGGTTTTTAATAAATCAGTAACCCTTATCCTATAATAACATCATATTTCATAGCCCAGTAAATCACATCAAACTCAAGATAAAACAATTAATGCTTATACACTGAGATGTGAATGTGTCCCAGAAATATATGAGTAATTCTGAAATAGGCAGTATTAGCACAACTATGAACACAGATTTGTAGAACTATAGTTCAGCCAGGAGGCAAAGAAATAGACTAATTTTTCAAGATTCCCTTTTGTCCTAATTGAAAAAGGAATAAAGATACATACAATGATTGAGAAAATAATCAGTGCTAAGCATTCCCTTTACATTTATATGATCATCGTAGATAACGATTCAGAAAATAATCAGTCCTAAGCATTCCCTTTACCTGTATATGATCATTGCGGGTAACTATAATTGACCAACTATTATGAATCCCGTTGGCCATTACAACCAACCACAAGTCAACATGACTTTTTCTACCCTTCCTCCTCTACTCTGTCTGCAAAATCTCATTCTGTGAAACTCATCACCACAATGAAGTCAGGCTCCCTATAAATCTTCTCAGAATATAATTGTTCAAAGGCATCTGACTGTGAGGAATTCTCCATTACTTTACCACATTTGCTTTAGGTTGTAAACCATATGGAGTATATTATACTTATACCACCTAATTTTCAGTAACTTCAGAAGGCAATTCTAAATTTTTAATGCAGCCTGTAATGCACATGTTTTGAACAAGGTTTTCTTAGTAATTCTTGCTTCTGTACTGGTTCAAAGCAGCTAAAATTAGCTTTTACAGATCTTTTTCTAATCTGAATCCCAGTATTTTCCTATCCAAGTTCCTGGGCAACAGGTAGGGTATGCAAGTCTTAGTAAATGACACTCTGCTCATCCGTTATAGCAAAGGGTGTTTATATTAAAGTAGGTGCTCTTCTGTCCTGTGAGAGCTATTGGCTAGACTCATTCTCTAATACGCAATAGTGCCTTAAAAACCTGGGTCATTCAAGATTAGGACATTTCACGTCTTTTTTTTCCATATAGAATACTTTTTAAATTTAATAATGTTGACTCTAAGTAGTAAAAACTAATGAGAAGAATATACCTGAAAACACTGCATTGGTTTTCAGATGATAAAAGACAAAAAATACAAATGAACAATGCTGTTCAGAAAAAATTCCAGGAAACAGAAAAAGGATCCTATATCCCTCCACTTTTTCAACACCATATTAAACATAAGACCATAAGACAATGTCAACCTTTGTCTACTATCTTGAAGAAGTCCAATATTCTGTGAATTGTGATCATACATCCTGAAATCAGGTTAAGGAAAAAGTGTTTGAAGAGATGAAAGTCCAGATTCCACTAGGAATTCTCCCTTCTCCCAACAAGAGATAAGACTCGGAAAGTTTGCAACAAAAATAAATAAACAAACTTTGTATCCTTGTAGCTACTGGTACAGACTTTGCTTTGAGTTGATTTCATTGTTATTATGGTCAGCAAGAAAATAAATTACATGCTTTTTTTTTTTTTTTGAAGAGATGAGGTGCAGTGGCAATTCACTGACATGATCCCACAAACTGACCAGCATGGGGGTTTTGACTTGCTGTTTCTGACCTGGTCTGGTTCACCTCTCTGGCAATCTGGCATCCTGAGAGGTCACCATATTCATGCCAAACTTAGTGTGGACATCCAACCAGCATAGCGCACTATGACCCACAACTCCTGGGCTAAAGGGATCTCTCTACCTAATCTTGACCTCTCCACCTCAGCCTCCCAAGTAGCTGAGACTACTGGCACACACCTGTACATTCTATTACCAATAATGTTAAATGTTAAAAAAAAAAAAAAATTAAAAACATAAACAGGGTAGAAAATTATAGCAAAGCAGAAACTCAATCTAAAATCTTAACTTTCAATCTTTATATAAGGCAGTAAACTCTCTTAATGAGAGAGAAATAGCAATTTCAAAAGCCAAATGTCAGGACACAGGAATAACAGGCGAGCACCATCCTAAAACAAATGCATGATTTTAGAAACCTAGAGTAAGAAGGAAAATAGCCAGGCACAGTGGCTCACACCTGTAATCCCAGCATTTTGGGAGGCTGAGGCAGGCAGATCACTTGAGACCAGGAATTCAAGACCAGCCTGGCCACCACGGCAAAACCCCATCTCTACTAAAAATACAAAAAGTTGCTGGGTGTGGTGGCGCACACCTGTAATCCCAGCTACTTGGGAGGCACAAGAATCATTTAAACCTGGGAGGCAGAGGTTGCACTAAGCTGAGATCGTGCCACTGCACTCCAGCCTGGGTGACAGAGTGAGACTCTGTCTCAAAGAAAAAGAAAAAGAAAGAAAGAGGCCAGGCACGGTGGCTGACGCCTGTAATCCCAGCACTTTGGGAGGCCGAGGCAGGTGAATCACGAAGTCAGGAGATTGAGACCATCCTGGCTAACATGATGAAACCCCATCTCTACTAAAAATACAAAAAATTAGCGGGGCGTGGTGGCACATGCCTGTAGTCCCAGCCACTCGGGAGTCTGAAGCAAGAGAATGCCGTGAACCCGGGAGGTGGAGCTTGCAGTGAGCTGAGATCGCACCACTGCACTCCAGCCTGGGTGACAGAGCGAGACACCATCTCAAAAAATAAATAAATAAATAAATAAATAATTTAAAAAAGTAAAAGAAAGAAAGAAAGAAAACAACTGTTACTTGGACCACACACAATCCAAGTAGAAAAATACGATAACCTGACTCATACTATTTAACCAGTGTCATTGCTCACTTTCCTCACTACCTAATCCTCAAAATTGAGGCTTAATGGCAAAAGATAAAATAAAATATGAAGTTTTATTTGCTAAAACTGAGAACAGAATGAACATTATAAATGTTAAAATTAAGTGTGAATACATGACATTAAAAAATTTAGTATATTCGGTTATTAAAACCTATGAATTGGAAATAAAATCAAAATGCAAATTACAAATATTTTGAGCACATATAAAAGCACTATTTTCCTGTTTTTGTTGTTGTTGTTGTTTGAGACAGGCTCTCACTCTGTCACCCAGGCTGGAGTATAGTGGCACAGTCTTGGCTCATTGCAACCGCTGACTCCTGCGCTCAAGCAATTCTCCCACTTCAGCCTCTGGAATAGCTGAGACTACTGGTGCATGCCACCATACCCAGCTAAATTTTTTTGTATTTTTAATAGAGATGGGGTTTCGCCATGTTGCCCAGGCTGAACTCCTGAGCTCAAGCGATCCACCCATCTCAGCCTTCCAAAGTGCTGGGATTACAGCTGTGAGCCACGGCTCCCAGCCCGAAAGCACTATTTTCTATTTCTTCTAACCATACACAATATATTTATCAGAAGTCCATATGGGCCAGGTGCAGTGGTTCACACATGTAATCCCAGCTACTCGGGAGGCTGAGGTGGGAGGATCACTTGAGCACAGGAGTTTAAGGCCGCGGTGACCTAGGATACCACCATTGCACTCCAGCCTGGGCAACAAAGTGAGACCCTGTCTCAAAAAAGAAAAAGTCCATAAGATGCAGAAAATAAGATTTTGCTACTATGCTTCATGTTCCCAAACATGCACAGTGAAAAACTTTTCATGAGTTCAATTTTAAAAAACAAACACATGCAGCTTAAAGTCCTCATGGCTGAACTTACCGTCTTGTGACCGTTCTGGCAGGCAACATGCAGTGCTGTCTGCCCCATGGCATCCTCAACATCAACATCACTGACATGCTGCACAAGGTCATGGAGTAGTTCTGTCCGCCCATTCACAGCCAGCCAGTGTATCTGTGAAGCCATTTAGTTACTTAACGTTTGTGTAGTAGTGTTTTATATAAAAACAGCAGATAAATAATGTTATTTCTTAGCTGAACGTGACTTGCTCATGCAAATCTAAAGGCATTTTAAGTCCATGTAATGGTTTAAAACTAAAGGTATTTTAAGTCCATGTAATTTTTTTCCTTTTTTTAATTTGTTTAAGTTTTATTTATGGGTTTGGGGTTCTTTTTAGAGTTGGGGTCTTGCTATGTTGTTCAGGTTGGACTCAAACTCCTGAGCTCAAGTGATCCTCCTGCCTCAGCCTCCTAAATAGCTGAAACTAGGTTTTATATGAGGAAAATTTCTGTATCAAGATGCAGATTACATTACCACAGATTTCAAAATCAAGAACCCAATGCAGCTGGAAGTGGTGACTCATGTTTGTAATCTCAGCATTTTGGGAAGTTGAGGCAGGAGGATTGCTTGAATAAAATGAGTTCAAGATCAGCTGGGCAACGTAGCAAGAACCTGCTTCTATAAAAAATTTAAAAATCAGCTGGGCAGCCGGGCGCGGTAGCTCACGCCTGTAATCCCGGCACTTTGGGAGGCCGAGGCAGGCGGATCACGAGGTCAGCAAATCACGACCATCTTGGCCAACATGGTGAAACCTTGTCTCTACTAAAATATAAAAAATTAGCTGGGCATGTTGGCGTATGCCTGTAATCCCAGCTATTTGGGAGGTTGAGGCAGGGGAATCGCTTGAACCCAGGAGGCGGCAGTTGCGGTGAGCTGAGATCGTGCCACTGCACTCCAGCCTGGCAACAGAGCAAGACTCCGTCTCAAAAAAAAAAAAAAAAAAATTAGCTGGGCATGGTGGCATATACCTATGGTCCTAGTTTCTCAGGATGCTAAGGTGGGAGGATCCCTTGAGCCCAGGAGTTTGAGGCTACAATGAGCTATGATTGTGCCACTGCACTCCTACCTAGGTAACAGAGTGAGAACCTGTCTCAAAAAAAAAAAAAAAAATTGTTTTAAAATAACTCACAATGGTTCAAAATAGTAAGTATACTAAGCTTCCGATCATCAAATACTCTGCTTCTCAGATAATCCTGAACTCTATGCATAGCTTGTCTCTGGAGAAAAGGTATTAGATATTTTTCCTTTCCCAGAAGCAAACGTTAAGTTAAAAAGTAATTAACGTTGCAATGCTATCTCCCTTACTTCCTATATTTTACAAGTAACACATGTATCTTGCATAAATAAAAAAAGGAGGATAAAAATATATATAAAACACCTATGAGTCTACCACTCAAAGATAATCAATGTTAAAACTTTGGACTATGCTATCCATTAATTTTTCACATGATTTTTTTTTTCATTAAAAAGAAAATCATGAAATCCCTGTTTTAAAATGGCAGGTTTAATCCATGCATCAGTCTCTACTTCTTCCCTAAACCCCACAGAAATGACAGTAAAGAGTATTTCCTTAAAGACTAGATCCATAAAGATACAGAGAGAACAGCAAGTTTTGGAAGCAAAGAAAATAGATGATGCTTTTTATCTTGTCAGATTATACTTGTTGACTTGTCAGAATGTTACACCAGTATTAGAGAAACCCCCCCAAAAAAATGTGATTCAGATTACAGGACTCCCAAAAGGCTCAAGAATCAATAGTAAGCACCATGCACCTTTTGAAAAGAGGTTGAAAGTTTATCTAACAAGATTTAGAGCCTCATCTCTCTAACCCTCCCCAACTGTGCAAGGCCAGTAATGGCCCCTCCTCAATCAGATAGAATGCAAGAGGCTTGAAAACAGTCTCTAGGTAAGAGACACCAGGCACATTGAACCAGGAATACCACATTAAGAAGGGGAGATTAAGTGCAAGTTTAAATACTGAATATTGATTTTACAAAGCATTCTTCTCTATCCAGCACACAGACTGTTAACATCTTCAGGGCAGTTGGAAGAGTCTTCTCTGAGGAGTATGACCAGCTCAAGAGTAAATGCCTAAAGAGATCGACACTGGAAAGGTCCAAGAGGCAAATGTCCAAGGAGATCATCCTACACTGAAGGCCCTAGTGAACAAACCTCACTCATGCTGACAGTCTTCAAATAGCTTTTTCCATTTCCACCAAACATTTGATAAACGCATCTAATTTGAAAGACAAAATACAAAAATTTTTTAAAGCAAAAAGTAGGGGGAAAAAGGAACCATGAATATTCAAGAAAAAACTATATTTAATACTGTCAGAGAGAGAACATACTGATTGCGTCCTTGAAATGAGAAAAGGATACTATTTTTTGAAAGAAACAAGGAAAAAAAAAAACTCTTGGAAATTAATACTATGATAGAGACGTGCAAACTCAAAAGAAGCTTTAGAAGAAAATATTGAGGAAGTCTCCCTAAAAGTAAAAAGATAAAAGAAATGAAGAAATGAGAAAAAGTAGGAATATTAAAGGGCTAGTGTGAATAGGTCTAACGTTTAAATAACAGGAGTTGGGGAAAAAATAAAACTGAGAAAAGACAGAAAAAGAAATCATGAAAGTAATAATTTACGAATATTTCTCATAAGTTCCCATTACATGAGTTTCCAGGCTGACAGGGTCTCAATATTATCCAGCTAAATGGATAAAATAAAGCCAAACCAAGATATAATAATCACAGGATTTTAGAACACCATGGACAAAGTAGATTCTGTAAGTTTCTAGAGAGAAAAATCAAAACAGATTTCATATAAACAATCAAGAATCAAAATAGTACTAAACTTCAAAACAAAGTAAGAAGACAACAAAGCAATGCTTTCAAAATTCTAAGGAAAAATGATGTCTCGTCTAGATTGTCAGCTGAACTGTCAATCACATAATCAGACTCAAAGACTTGAGTCATATCAAACATGCAAGATGGCAACACATCTCCCATGGCACACTTTTTCTCAGGAAACTGTCAGGGTTGTGCTCTATCAGAATGACAGAATACTTACCAGAAAAGATGGATATGAGACCCATATAACAGAGAACCCAAAGCAAGTAAAAGCAAAAGGAATCCCCAGGATGATGATGAGACATTCCAAACAACTGTGCAGCAGACCTAGGTATCAACCAACCCAGCCAAGAGAGCACAGAAGTCTCCTTAAGAGACTCCTTCAAGACATAATCAAGGACATGAAAGGTACTGCATACTATTAAGAGGATATTTATAAAGCTGAGAGAGACTTTGGTAATGAATTAGTAATAAGTTATAAGAAAACTTTAATAAAGCAGTACGGCACAAAACAGATATCAAAGACATACAAACTGGAAAAGAAAGAAATAAAGGCCTGGCGCAGTGGCTCATGCTTGTAATCCCAATACTTTGGGAGGCCGAGGCAGGTGAATCACCTGAGGTCTGGAGATCAAGACCAGCCTGGCCAACACGGTGTAACCCCGTCTCTATTAAAAATACAAAAATCGGCCGGGCGCGGTGGCTCAAGCCTGTAATCCCAGCACTTTGGGAGGCCGAGACGGGTGGATCACAAGGTCAGGAGACCATCCTGGCTAACCCAGCGAAACCCCGTCTCTACTAAAAAATACACAAAACTAGCCGGGCGAGGTGGCAGGCACCTGTAATCCCAGCTACTCGGAGGCTGAGGCAGGAGAATGGCGTAAACCCGGGAGGCGGAGCTTGCAGTGAGCTGAGATCCGGCCACTGCACTCCAGCCTGGGCAACAGAGTGAGACTCCGTCTCAAAAAAAAAAAAATTAAAAAATTAAAAAAATAAAAATACAAAAATCAGCTGGGCGTGGTGGCGCACACCTGTAATCCTAGCCACTCGGGTGGCTAAGGCAGGAGAACTGCTTGAATCCAGGAGGCAGAGGTTGCAGTGAGCCAAGATTGTGCCACTGGACTGTAGCCTGCGTGACAGAATGAGAGTCTGTCTAAATGAATAAACAAACAAAAAACTGTCTCTACATGCCAACAACATGACTGTCTATGTAGAAAATCCCAAGCAATTTGCCCAAAATCGCCTAGAACTAATAAGCGAGTTCAGCAAGATTGCAAGACACATAATTAACACACAAAAACCAATTGCATTTCCATCTGAACATGCATAAACTCAAATTAAAAATACAATGCCATTTACAATTATGCCAAAGAAAATGAAATAGTTATATGCTTATGAAAACATGCACAAAATCCCCAGACTGTGCTGTACAAAATTCTAATGAAAAAAATCAAAGACCTAAGTAAGTGTGGAGACATACTGTGTTTATGGATTAAAAGACTCAATCAACATAGTAAAGATAACAATTCTCCCCAAATTGATCTATCAGTTTAAAGCAACTCCAATCAAAATTCCAGCAAGGTTTTTTTGTTGACGTAGACAAGTTTATTGTAAAATTTATATGGAAAGGCAAAGGAATCAGAATGGCTAACACAATCCTGACAAAGAAAAATAAAGTGAGAGGAATTATTCTACCTGTTATTAAGACTTACAGCTACAGGCTGGGACCGGTGGCTCAAGCCTGTAATCCCAGCACTTTGGGAGGCCGAGGCAGGTGGATCACGAAGTCAGGAGATTGAGACCATCCTGGCTAACACGGTGAAACCCCGTCTCTACTAAAAATACAAAAAATTAGCTGGGCAAGGTGGCAGGCGCCTGTAGTCCCAGCTACTCAGGAGGCTGAGGCAGGAGAATGGCGTGAACCCTGGAGGCAGAGCTTGCAGTGAGCCGCTATCGTGCCACCGCACTCCAGCCTGGGCGAAAGAGCGAGACTCCATCTCAAAAAAAAAAAAAAAAAAGACTTACAGCTACAGTAATCAAGACAGTGTGGTATTAGCAGAGAGATTAGTAGAGACACACAGATCAGTGGAACGAATAGAAAGTCCACAAGTGGATCCACACAAATATGCCCAACTGATTTTTGAGACAGATGCAAAACCACATTCATGCAGAAAGGACAGCCTTTTCAACAAACAGTGCTAGTACTGGACATTCACAGGCGGAAAAAAAAAAAGGAAGCCTTGACCTAAGCCTCATATCTTATGCAAAC